GGCAAGAAAGGAAGAAATCGGAGACGGGGGGGGGGAGGGATAGGGAGCAGAAGGTGGGCTGCTGTGTTGTTGACGCCGCTCCTCTTCTGCAAAGGAGCCCGTCTCTAACCCTCGGGATCGCCCATCCGTGCCCGCCTCCTTGGGCTCCCCGGGCGACTGGCTGGTGCGCGGCGGCGGCGGCGGCTCAGGACCGTCTCTCTCAATCTCTCTCTGTGTGTGTGTGTGCGTATCTCAGTCAGCTGTCAGTGCCCTGCTCGGATCCCGGCGTCTCTCCGCTTGGCTTGCCTTGCCTCTTAGGTTTTCTGCCTGGGCAGCTCCGGGCATGTTCGGGAGCCCGCTTCCCGCCGCGGAGAGGCACCTCCGAGCATCCCCGGCTCTTCCACCACCATGATGCGGGGGGGAGTCGTCGTCGCTGGCGAGGAGGGCGGCCGGGCTGCCGAGTCCCCTTCTGATTCTTAATAGCCAAGCGAGCGGCTCAGTGGTGTCTGCCTCGCTCGCCGCCCAGCCTCTCTGGTTTCACATCCTCTTTCCTGATCACGATTCAAATACAATAGAAGGAAATGACATTTAAAGAGACAGCTGTCTATTTCTTAACTGGACTCCTGGGGATTGCAGCCAGCCAGAGGAGCAGCAGCAGCAGCAGCATCTCTCACGACTGAGTTGGCTCCTTAAAGGGCCAGCCTTCGACTCTCACGCAGCCGGGAGGGCGCTGACTCTGCGTTTCCTTCAATCCTCCCCCCCCCGCAAAAAGAATAGCCCATATCGATCATAGTGGTGCCCTTTTAATTGAGCTGTACAGCCGCCAGTTTGTTAAAGAATGAGGGGACGTCCAGTGCGCCCAGAAAGTTGCCTTTTAATCTGACCAGTGTTGCATTGATGGCCCGGGAGGGGGAGCACATAAAACCGAAGAACAATTGCCCTCTACTTGCTCATCCTTAAAGACTTCCCCTTCTGCACCATCTGAACCCAGATGGTCATTTAACAAATTTATCCCTCGCAAACGAGTGAAACGCTGCAATGGGAAGGATTATTGATCGATCATCATGTATAAGATATTGAAGTGGCTATAACTACGTGCACAGAGGCACGAGGCAAAGGAAAGAAACCGCGATCTCATCATCTTTCTCTGCTTCTCCCTCCTCACCTCTAACCTTCCACCGAGCTGGATAATTCACAGGGTGCAGCGATCTGCATCGTTGTTAAAATTAAGGCTCATGCTGAGAACTGCAGTGTGACAGCAGTGCCAGGCTGGAACGGTGCCTTTGAACTAGAGGGGTACCATCTGCTCTGGGGATTCCTGTATAAGTAACAATCATAAAATGCTGTAGATTTAAAAACCCCGCTGCTGCCCCCACAAAGTATTAGTTAAATATTGCTGAAATAAATGCCTTTGCTGAAAAAAAAAAGGGGTGGTGATGATGAAGAAAATAAGCTCCTTTGTAGTTGCCTTGTGTTAACTTATGTCCCCTGAGTATCTCCCTTAACTGCTAGGGAATAATGCCAGAAGGGTCAGGAGAACCTCCTCCAAAGGCCAGTGGCATCAATGGCACGAGGTTCTGTTGTGGGTGTCAGAAGGCCTAGAGACTGCCCCCCCTGGTGCTTCCTGTTTCAAAGAGAGACACAGATCACGTATAAACAACTGACCACCAGGAAACAAAGTCAGTGGTTGGGCAATACATTTATTGGATCACTAAAAACTTACAGACAAGACAAGCTTTCAAGTTCTCCAAAGTTCTTAACATGGTAAATTTGGGGGAAAATTGCCAACAAAAAAAATGGAACTCGGATTCCGCATCAGACAGAGGCGAGAGGGATCATTTGAATCAAATGTTATCATCAAAGGTCTCACCCCTCTGCAGATAAAAGTCTACCCTTCCATTGCAACCCCCAGATCTGCCAATTACATTTGGAGAGGCAAAATGGCACAGGTCTCTTTTGTAGACTTGGGACAGAGAAAAGTGAAGCAAAGTCTTGGTAAAACAGGAGAATAAACTGTGGTACCACACTAAATTTAAAAATTAGCTAGGACTATATACCTAGTGGGTCAGAGGAGAAGGACTCTTCGCTGGAAATGCCTTCTTTTTTTTTGGCATGGCAGCAGTTTTTCCCAGGTAGCCAATGTTCCTGTTTCAAAAAAAAAAAAAAAAAACTACAAAAGGAAGCTGTGTAATCTACTAAGACTGATAAGATCTGGTGTTAGGCAATCACTTTATTGGATCACTGATAATTGGAACATATGTCCGAATAGCAGGAGCACATCTGGACCAATTTTTAAACAATTTGTCTTAAGCCCACATTTATACCATCTCTTCTTAGTGATCCATTAAAGCTATTGCCCAAGTTTTACTGACCTAGAGGCCCTTCCTCATTAGCCTCAAGATATTTGTTGTTTGGTGACAGAGCCTGGGAAAGTTACTTTTCTGAACTACTCTGTGCTGTTTGGGGGATCCTGAGAGCTACAGCTGCTGTTATAGACCACTGTTTCTCCCAATGCAAACATGGCATAGTAGACATCAACCATTCAGATTTCTGCTTGCTCAGAATTTAAAATGCTGACACACTTTTTAGAATGGTTTACTAGATGAATAATTTAATTTAAAAGAAAACTAAGGATTTCAAATATTTTTCAAAAACAGAATATTTTTAATATTATTTTGGTTTGCTCCTGGGGAGCAGCGTTCCTGTTCCTTATTTGAGATTATTTCTAATGTACCTTTTGTTAAATTCATGTAGTTTAGATACTTTGTAGTCAGCCAAAGCCAGAGGGGCAACACGACTGCTCAATATACCGATACCAATATTGGTATTCAGATGCATTGAGTTATTGGATCCAACATAGGCTATATATACACTTCTCACTTTAAGAACGCTGTGGTTGGGGTGCCGAACCAGGGAAAAATATTGACACCCAGACTTTGTTGAGTCCGGAGGCCAATATTTTTCCTCCTGTGAGTCCTCCAGAGACCACACCAAAAATGGCAAATCTCCCCTTGAAAGAAAGTGTTAATGAAAGTGACTAGTTTCATTTTTTTTAAAAAAAAAAGTATTTTGGAATGTATGACTTATTTAAGAGACCAACACCCTTGGAAACTAAGATCCTATTTAAACTAAAAATTATGAAAACAATATCCTACATAGTGACTGTTTTTTTTCCTTCCAAAACGTTTCTTAGAGTATTTAGAATACAAACATACCCAGATTCACAAGTTACTCTGTTGAACTAGCACTGTGATACATGGAATATCATTGCCTGCACTTCCTACCTGTGGAAGCATAGAGAGGTCTGGTCATTTCAAAAAGAAATCTCTTGGTTGCCAGGAGTAAAGAACCTCAAATGCTCAACCCAAAGTGGGCCTTCCCAACCAAATCCAGTCCTCTAGGGTTCCCCATGTAGCTGCATCCCCTTCCCGATTACACTACCATTCAATGATTTGCTAGGTTTTGTACATTTTCCCTGACACCATTCTAAAAAAAACAACTGAAATGCCTGTCTTAAGACTTGGATAAAGGTAAAGGCAAAGGTTCCCCTTGACATTTTTAGTCCAGTCGTGTCTGACTCTAGGGGGCGGTGCTCATCCCATTTTTCAAGCCGTAGAGCCAGAGATTGTCTGGAGACAGTTTTTGTTGTCACATGGCTAATGTGACTAGGGAACGCTGTTTTACCTTCCCACTGAGGCAGTACCTATTTATCTATTCGCATTTGCATGCTTTCAAACTGCTAGGTTGGCGAGGAGCTGGGACAAAGTGATGGGAGCTCACTCTGTTGCATGGATTCGATCTTACGACTGCTGGTCTTCTGACCCTGCAGCACAGGCTTCTGTGGTTTAGCCCACAGCGCCACCCCATGAGTAAGCATATTAAACTAATATCTTCTGGTATTTTACCATTTTTCCTGCCCGTCATCAGAATATTCTTAAGAAGGGCTCTTCTTGTGGTGTGTGGTTTAATACCTGGAATGGAATTCAACTCCGTCGGGGTGGAGGGGCTTCCCGTGCTTAGTTCATTATCATTATTTTAAATATACAACCCACAGTCTGGAGATTTTAGAGAATCAGTGTGTCATGCTTCTATGTTTGATGCCAGTGAATTAAACGAGTTAAGCCAATAGTTATGCAGGGGATGTTACCTGAAGATAAATAGCACTGTAGAGCCTTTGTATCACAGAAGCACAAAGCACTGTTTGGGTTTCTTGTGGCAAGTGGGGTATTAAACCACATACACTGTAGGAAGGGCCCTTCTTGAAGCTATGTAAAGCTTTGTGAAGACAGAAGGGTGTATCCTTTACTCATGAAGCTGTAATTAGCACAAACAACATTTCTCTCTAAGTGGAATTTCCATTTGTATCTAAAATAAGCTCTTTCCCAAACTTTCAGTGGCTGCACACAATGTCATTTCCCCATGGGTAAAAGAACAGGAAGCAAAATAAGCATTAGTGCAGCATTCTGAAGCTATCATGGATTAACTGACGACTCCTCTCAAATGAGGAAAAGAGAGACTGCAGTGTAAGCTTGATTCACAGAAATACTACAGTATTTCTCTTCTTGTATGGGATCTGTAAGTAGCAAATTTACAGCTGTATCTTCCCACATCCATAAAAATCCTTCTTTTCCACCTAGAGAAATAAACTTCCATGTTTCCTCTCTTTTGTAAAATGCTTGCATTTTCTTTGGTCTGGCAGGTACAAGAGGCTCTTTTGGTTAGCACAATTAGTTCTACAAGAAATTCTACAGCAATTTAAATTATTATGAAGATATAAACAGATCTATAAATTATATCTTTTAACAAAGATTTGAATGCCTGCATTTCCTCCTTCAAAACAGCAAAACAGACAACAAATGTTCCTGTTCTGTTATGGCTGTGTTTTTTTAATGAAATATTCTTTATTTTGTTGGCTTGCTGTTCAGCTGAAAATCAAGCAAGATGAATTTC